TGATTGAGAATCTCTATAGACAATCTAATGGAAAGTAATGTGGTATCAAAGTTGTGCCCTTCAGGAGCAAATCAAGAAGCTGACTAGGAAACAATTGTGCTTTTTTACTTCTTCATTTATGTCCTCCTCCCTCCCTCATATTCATAGTGGTAACATTTCTCGGTGAACCAAATTAAATTCTACTTCTTCCATACATAGAATTCCAAACAAGGTCATATGCTACCTTTTCTCTTGTGAATCTTGCCGTTGTTCTGCTCCGTCCACTGAGAAAGCTGGGACTCTCCTGATGTTGCTCTGATGGATCCAACCTCCCAACTCTGCACTGACCCCTGGTGTAAGTTAATTTTCATCCCAGATCTCTCCACCCAGAAGGGGTTGGGAGAAAGATAGCTGGGGAAGAGCCAAATACAGGCGTATCCCTGGAGATATTTATAGGATTAGGCTTTGGACTTATCATTGCCAGCCTCCCAACTGCACTTCTTTTTTTTCTCTCAGATTCATCACATACAGAAGTGAAAGAAATACTGTGCAGCACCAGGCAGTGTATGTAAGAAAATATAGCTTTGAAGGAGGGTAGCAACTATTTTCTAATATTTTACGATATATGAAGAAAAATGCTAAGACATGTTAACCAGCCTCATTATGAAGCAAAGGAGGCACCTGTTATAAATGTTTCAGAAAAGGCAGTTTGTCTAGCAGACAAACTGTCAGGTTAACAATTTCAGGTGCAAGTATAAAAATAACCTTGCCTGATGAAAAAAGAAATCTGTAGGACAGGGAAACTTATTTTTTATTATGACATTTATTGGCCACCCATCTTACCCGAGGGTAACTCTAAAACGAATCAATAAAAAGCCCCTTCCCTTGCATTCCAAGTTCTTGTTTCCTCTGAAACATTTGGAGAGGCAGATGGAATACTGAATAAATCTAAAATCCTATAATTGCAGGATATAATTCCATCTATTTCTAATAATGAAGAAATAGTGTAGCTCCTTTGGAGCCAAAACAGCCTCACCTAGGCATAAAGAAATTATGCTTCCCTGTGAAGATCTGGCTGTTTTCTCTTCGTTAGGTTTCTACTAGTACAAGGAAGGTTGAGCTTCCTTGGAGAGACTTTTCCTGATTTGAGGAGTTGCTACCTTTTATCTTCTTCCTATTCTTGTACTAATGATGTATTTTTATTTTGGTTTCTGAGGAGTGAGATTACATCAGCACACAGATATGTCTAATAAATAAAATCAGTTTGCTAAGTCCCAAAGCAGTAGACACTATTGTCTTCATACTATGCTTCAGAACTTGCTTCAGTTTTTCAGAACCATCCAATCTGGCCAAATCTGGGAAACAGATATTGAATATTTGCTTGTGCTATCTAAGCTGGTACATTTACTATTCATTTCCATAGTAAATTGAAATGACTCTATACTAGGCACCATCCTACAAAGTAATATTTTAATACTCTGAGTGTGGCTTGATACTTAAAATCTACTAAAACTAGAGTCCCTGAAACACTCAAATATTTGTTTCATTTTGGCAGAGCATACTATGTGAACCCATTGGAGTCAGTAATCAATGCTTTATGGTTTAGTGCAGCATGTGATTCTAGTCCAAAGATGGCTAGTTGGTGCAGAGAAACATGCCAAATTGGCCTTGAAAGTCAGTTATTTTATTTTAGGGTACTATTCAACTGAAGAACAGTAATGTACAAATCAAATAAAATGAATATTGTTGTGGTTTACATGATGTGCTCCATAACAACTTGGCTACTGCATGCACAACACCATTTACCTGCTCCATGTATAGATCTTTAATATACTTGTTTAAATCCCAAAGTATGTCATTCTGAATCATTTTAACATGGTTGAAATAATGTATATTGCTAGAGGAATATTATCATGTGAATACAGCCATTGAAGAAATATTTGTTTTATGGTCCTTGTATTGGAGCTCTTAGATACTGACTTCTGTAACCCGTCCTGGCTTCAGTCAATTGAAGCTTTTAAATAAATAAAGTCCTCACCACCAGTAATTGGGATTGGGAAGTCCATCACTAAACAGCACAGTTTAAGGAGCAATGTCATTGGACCATGCCAACTTACGATGGCACTTCTGGCAGTCCCAGTTGTCATCATTAGGCAAATCCTGTGCAATTGCAATGTCCTGTGGTCCCAACCTCCGGATGGCTTTCCCATTGACTCTGGTTGTTGAAAATTCAACTTTGGGAACATCTATAATCACAGCCCAACTTTTCTCCAAGTGTGCTCACTCCATTCAGTGTATGCTAGGGTCTCTCATCTGCAGATAAAATACTCATGGCCGGCATCCCATTATCTAGAAAGTGTTTGCTGTAAAAAGAGTCAAAAGCAATAATGAGTGAAATGTATTAAGCAACAACAGACCCAAAAGTGCCTTTAAAGATAAATGCTTAAGGGAGATTAGGGGGTCAGAATGATGTTACCACCAAGTCGCATAATCTAGAGACTTATGCAAGAAAGCAGTAGCATCTGCTCTTAAAGGAACAAGCTCATAGATTTATTTGTGAAGTAATAGTGCTAATGCCCCAAAACACATTCAGTGATTTTTCTTAACACCCAAAATAAGTGGTACCTATACTTTAAAATGTAATACTTTAGGACTAGGATGTGAGGTCTGTGCACACAAAAAGCATTTCTGACCTTCCTTTTATCTATGCAGTTCAGAAATACAATCAGATATCTGATTTTCATTGTTTCCTGCTTCTGCCTTGCTCTAGCAAGTTTACCAGTAAAATATTCTGAGATTAAAGTTACAGGTGGCCCTCAATTTATAACCACAACTGGAAGCAGAATTTCCATTGCTAAGCAAGGCAATTGATTAAGTGAATCATGCCCAATTGTGTGACTTTTTTCTATGGTTGTAAGTGCATCTTTGCAATTATTAAGTGAATCATGGGATTATTAAGCAAATTCACCTTCCCCCATTGACTGCTTGTCAGAAGCTGAGAAGATCACAAATGACAATAATATGTCACTGCAATTATCTAAATAAATACCGGTTGCCAAGCACTCTAATTTTGATCACACTACTGTGGGGATGTTGTGACTGTTGGGTGAGGACTGGTCATAAGTCATTCTTTTCAATGCTGCTGTAGCTTTGAACAGCTGCTAAATGAATGGTTGGAAATCCAGGATTAACTGTATTAGGATTCATAATACGAGCTGTGGTAGCACAATGGTTAGAATGCAGTACTATAGGCTACTTTTGCTGACTGTATGCAGTTTGAAGGATACTGTAAAATCTCCAGTCAGAGATGATATTTGCTGGTTCTCTGAACTACTCAAAATGTCCGCTACGGGTTCTCCAGAACTGGTCAGAACCTGCTGAATACCATGGCTGTAAAGCACTGGGAAGCAGTATATAAACAAGTGTTAAGTGCTATTGCTGGTATCCAGGTGCAGATCATGAGAATGGCCACTAGATGGTAACAAGAGTACCAAAACATCTCTTTGCTGCCATCTAATAACCATGGGATTTCTGCAGTCGAGATCAGGCAGCCGTCGACGTTCATCATTCCTTTCCTTGTCCGAGATCTAAACCCCTAGAGGAATACAGACAGCTGTCTTTTAAAGTTAATTGACAAGTTTAAAAAGTACAAGCCTCTTCGAAGAGAGAGCAGCCGCCTGCCTTACCTCACACAGCGCCTCATGTTTTCTTTCCGATTTCAATTGGAAAACAGAAAGACAGCATGTGTAGAGTTGTAATTGCAGGAATGTTCCAATCTCAGATGGCAAACCTCAGATAAAGAATGTTTCCAAGCAAATACAACTCAGGTAAACAAAGTCACTAATCTAAAGGAGGATTAGAGAGAAGAAGTAAACATATATTAGATTTTAACTAGAGATAATTAATTGTATTACTGTGCTAGTGTGCTGCTGTGTTTCTTTACTGTGTAAAGAAAGTTAAGCAGTAACCAAAGTTAACCAATGATGGAGGATAACTGAAAATGTGTATAAATGCAAGACTAGACTCCAATAAAGATCATCATGATTCAGTTGTTCATGATCAAACAACTCGACTGCCTCGTCATTACAACAAGTGGCGCATGAACAGGGACCCTCTTACTTCGTCCGGCAAGGATTTGGTGCACCTTCAACCCTTTGTGGTTTCTTCAACTTTTCGGTTTCTGTAAGTATGGGGTCTTTGCTTTCTGAGGAACAAAGGAAGCATGTAGATGAATTAGGCTATTTGTTGAAGAAAAATAATACTGAGGTACCACAGAGAAATCTCTTAAGGCTGGTCCAGGAGATTGCAGCTCAGTGCCTATGGTCCCCAGAACAGGGGTCTTTAAAATTAACTGATTGGGAACGTATAGGGAAAACATTGCATACTGAACCTCGAGCAAAAAATAGAAGTTTTGCAGGTGTGGCATTTATGTAGGCATGCAATTGAAAAATTTGGTCACAATGAACTTTCTCTTTTAACACCTCCACCTTCACGTTATACTAATGCTGTCATTTGTCCCCCTTCTTCACCTGAATATATGTCTTCAATTCCCTCAGCTTCTGCAGATAAAGGGCAAAAGCCTCCCGACTCTACTGCTCAGTCTTATTTTCAGAAAATGGTAGAGACTTCTAAAAGGGATGCCTCTGCCTCAGGAACAGAACTTGCAGAATTACTGTCTGTCTGTCCAGTAAAATATCGTCCTGGTCAGGGGCCACAGCTTGGACTGCAAGTAGCAGAATGGGAGGGTCTGCCTTATCAGATCTTAAGAGAGTTTTAAAAAAGGCAGTTACAGACTATGGGATTAGTGGTAATTTTACAAGAGGACTTGTAGAAGGAATAAAAAATGGTTATACAATGATCCCTGAAGATTGGAACATTCCTCCAATTACAACTCTACAAGCAGGAGGCACTGTGTGAGGTAAGGAGGGGCCGAGTGGGGGGGAAGCTTAGCAGCAAGGCTCTGGGTAGCCCTGGATTATCCAAATCCTGTAAAATGCAGTGCAACTGCCTTTAGGCGCAATCCCATCCTCGAACATCTTCCGCTTCCGTGCTGCGGAGCTGCTACTTTTAAAGTCAAGGTCGTGAAAAAGTTGGTGTTTTACCGTGTTCTTCCACCACCGCCGCTGTTATAAATTCATTCCCGGATGGAAGGAGAGAGAACGACTGGAGAAATAAGGAGTTCAAATCAGGTGAGAGGCGAGGGAGTGGAAGGGACGCAGAGAATCTCTGCCGGGAGGCAGCAGATGGAATCAGCACGTGGCACGGGCGCCCGATGGGGAAGCGGCACCAAAAGAGGAAATAATTACGCTGCCGGGTAAAAAGAGGACGAGTAAATTTTTTTAAAAAGCAATCCCTTTTTTTCGACTGAGAATGGGGAGTTGGGAGTGGAATAGTTTGGATAAAGCATGCGTCTTAGATTTATTGCGGAGGGGAGAAACTCTTTTTTTTTTTTTTTGCAACTTCTTGTCTTGAGAAAACGTGTTTTATTTTTAAAGGTAAAAAGGAGCAGGTATCGGAAGTATTTTAAAATGCAACGTATTTTAGTCTTTCATCTTTTCTACTGATCGTTCGATCTAAGCAACTTGAAAGGCAACATGTCTGTCCGGAAAAGTCTCCCTTTTAAAGGAGCAGTTTGTATCTATTTTCTTACCTGTAAGTAAGCCCAGAACCTGTTTTCCTCAAACAGTCAGAGAAATGGTAACTCTAAAGAAAGTAAACCAACACCAAGTAATATGATCAAATAAAAGTAATATTTAAAATGACCATTTAATTGCCCTGTGACAGGACAGAGCCATGCATCACTGCCCACTTCCTGGAGAGCTGCTTGAAGTTGGCTGTGATATTCTTAACTATGACCACAATCACTACAAGCCCTCACTAAAGGCTACGTTTTTGGTTCATGTTGTATCTGAAGAAAGTGTAACTGTAGGAGAGGAAGCTGCAAAGGCAAGAAGGTAGCCGTGAAAGACCAGTGTCTCAATGAGTCTAAAGCTCAGGAGGTGACATGATGTGAGGAACTTCCAAACCAACCATCTGGCCCTCAAACACTACAGTTTCAGCATTTCAATCTGGAGGATTGTCTTTAGTACAATTTCAAAGAAATGCATCAGAAAAAGAAATCAGTTGGCTCAGCCACAGAACATAATGAGGGCATTAGGATTGCATAGCTCTGAGCTGCATAAAGGGATCCTGTAAGATGTGAATCTATGCTACAGAGTCAGAGTAGCTTCCAATATTTGCTTTAAAGATACATAGCACAAGATCATGTGGCTCTGACTGATTGTGGAGGGCCTTATGGAAAAACCCTCAGTTGGGATCAATAAAATGGTTCCAACGCTTCTATACAAATGTGAAATAAGGTTGAAGGATAGCTCAAAATAGTAATGTAGAAATGAAATGAACCTAGCAAGTAGAACTAATCCCAATTACGCTGATAAGGACCTAGGATTTCATGTCTTGTTGCCCCCAACGTCTATAAAAATCTTTGCTTTCTTATTGTTCAAAGTCCCTCTTTCTTGTAAAGCCGGCATCCATGGTTGATTGTTATGTTCCTTCTTGACGGGATCCATGGCAAAATGTACTTTTAAAAAGGATAAACTATACATAATAATATCTATGCTTCTATATTGTCATATATAAAAATGCACCATATCATTGTACTGAAAAAGTGGCAGGTGGCTTTGTTGAAAGACTTCTGTGCATACGCTTGGAAGCTCTCTTTTTTTAATAACTGCCCAGATAGTTGTGACAACAATAAGTGTAGCTCTGTGCTTTTGAATTTCTTTGGCTGCTCGGGGGTGGGCCTGAGTGGTGTAAATGTCCATACAGCAGGAGCCAAGACACTTTCTTATAGTTGCTGTGATAGTTTTGCTGCTTCTATGTTTCACCAATTGTGCATTCTGTTATCTCTGAATGTCCTGTTCCTCTCCTTTTTCTGAGTGGGAACATTCTGGGATAGGACTAAAAAGTGAGCCAAAGGAATTTAAGACATATGTATCAGTGGTGGGATTCAGTTTTTTTTTACTACCAGTTCTGTGGGCGTGGCTTGGTGAGCATGGCAGGGGAAGGATACTGTAAAACCTCCAGTCAGAGGTGGTATTTGCTGGTTCTCTGAACTACTCAAAATTTCTGCTACCGGTTCTCCAGAACTGATCAGAACTTGCTGAATACCACCTCTGATATGTATTCTTTATTGTGTTTAAAAACAGAATTTACTGTAACTGCATCTTAAAGAACGGAAAGTGAATTGCTGATTTTGGCAGGACAGAATGCCTGGACAAGTTCTGACAGTTTTCTTGGCAAGGTTAATTGGAAGTAGTTTGCCATTGTCTGATTCTAGGGCTGAGAGAGTAGGATTGGTTAATCAGTCGGCTTTGTGCCAAAGTGGGACTAGAACTTTTGCTTCTTGGTTTATAGGCTTTGTTTCTAGACCACTACACCAAACTGCCTCTCCCTATGAAATCAGGGTGGCTTTTTTTATTGGTGCAATAGAACAAGGCCCAGTTACGGTTAAATTCTGGTCTATCCTATCTTAAAGATACTGATCTGGACTTTTTCTTTTGTAGATTTAATAGCAAAAGGATGTGTTGCAACTAACCAGCTACAAATTTCATAATGTCTGCTCTTCCGAAGCGGTTGTGTTACATTGGATTCCATGTTCTTCAGGGCCAACAGCTGGCCAGTCACCTGGTGCAAAGGTTTGGCTTTGAGCTGTTTGCTATACGGGAAGCAGAGAGGAAGAGGCAGCAGGCTTTCCGAAGAGGAGATGCTATTTTTATTGTCAATGAAGAGCGGGAGCTGACTGAGAAAAACTTTTCACCTTCAGATTTACCTTCAGACTGCTGTAAGCATAAAGGGATCCTGTATGATGTGAACCTGCAGTACAGAGTCAGCACAGCTTCCAATATTTGCTTTGAGGTAGAGGATGTCCCTGGAATCTCCCGAAACCTACAAGAGAAAGGCTGCAAGATCCTTATTCCTCCCACCACTGAAGCAGATGAAAATGGTTTTGTTACTTACTCTGTAGTGAGGTCCATTGTGGGCAATGTTAGCCATACTCTTCTTGATCGATCCCAGTATGGCGGGCCATTCTTGCCTGGTTTCTGTGAAGTTGAAGTTGCCCCCAAGAAACTCCAGAAGGAGAAGGAGACCATATATTTTGACCACATCACCTATGCCTGTCCACAAGGTAGCTCACAAGCTGTGCTGGACTGGTACAAAAACTGTTTTGGTTTCCAGCGCTTCTTCATCCACCATCAAGATGATGCTGAAGAAGGCTTTCGAATCCAAGGGGAAGACATGGGCCTTCGCCTTACTGCCATGCAATACAGTGTTGATCGCCTGTCACCCTTTGAGCCCGACTGTAAATTTGTCCTGGCTGAGTCGCTGCCAAGGCAAAGGATGGGCCAGGTGGACACTTTCTTACAACAGCATGAAGGCGCCGGCATCCAGCATGTGGCCCTTTATACCACAGACATTGTAAGTGCTGCTGCAGCCATGGCAAAGTCCGGAGTCGGCTTTTTCAAACCACCCGTATCATATTACTATGAGAAAAGCAAAGAGAAGGAGATACAGCAAGTTGGGCAAGATCTTCAGCTCCTGAAAGACTACGGCATCCTCCTTGATGCGGCAGTAGATGACAAAGGACAGGACACTAGCCCTAGCCTGCTCAAGGAGCAATACCTGATGCAGATCTTCACTAAACCTCTTTTTACAGAAGAGACCTTCTTCATAGAACTCATTGAGCGCTGTGGGGCTGCGGGTTTTGGTGAGGGAAACGTCCGTGCTCTTTGGAAGTCGGTACAGGATTATATGGATCAGCAGCAAAGGCCCACTCTACTCAAGCGTGAAACCTGACAGCATGTTCATTATGTTCTGCTCAGAGGCTCCTTGAACTGGGAAGTGGGTGGCAAATAAATTTGATAAATAAATTATAACTAAATAATATAGTGCTGCCGCCTCAGATTTGTTAATGTAGGATTATTGTCCATGTTAGAAGAAAGCTTGTGGACTGATTTGTTTCAATTATGTCCTTGCATTTTGCACGGTCAACGCTGGTTTGGATTAAAGAGTTTCCAAGTGACCTGGAAGATCATCTAATTAGAACCCATGACCTCACCATGGCAATGTTGTGACAACAACCACACTTGAAAGCGTGTAGGTTTTTGCCTTGCTAGTTGAACTACTGAATTGGTAATTGATTTTTCTTTAACAAAGTACAAAGGCCTGAGGGAATGGCAGTTATGCTTTCCCTAGGAAGAGAGAAATGCTCTATTAGAATAAGTGACCGCTATCTGCAGAAGCCCCACAGTCTTTGGGATCATGGAGTTCAAATCTGAAAAGGTGCAAGATTCCTATTGCTTAGCTACAATACTCTTAGTGAAGAAAGTTACCAAGTTAGGTAAGAAAAAGCCTCAATGAAAAGCAAGCTCTGAAGCCACCAAGAACAAACTTTGACTACATATTCTTTACTATTGGAAGAAAATCAGTTCTCTCTGTTCTTAGCTACTTGCATCCTCCAAATTTGGTGTTAACTGGACAAACAGGAGGCAAGGGTATCTGTTACATGAATCAGAACATCTTTTTAGCTATCAGAACATGAAACCACAGGGAATCTTTATAGATCCAAGCATTTATATAGAGATGGAATGTAGCTATTATGGTATTTACACTCCTAAAAAGTGAAAAGAACCTGACTTAATTTTTATCTAATGCAAAGAACTGTGAATAAATGTTGTGATTCTCAAAACGTATTGCTAATAAATCTTAATATATGTCCAAACTTGGCTCAATAGTTCTGTAGACGGGCTCTTACTTCAGAATCCATTGAATATGAAGAGATTTACTCAGTTCATTTATTTAGATATTACTACTGGAAAGTAGCCATGGTTTAATTAACTTAGTGGTTACCCCTATCAATGAAGCATTGGTCACATCCACTTGCTGTTATTGAATGCTACTGAATGTTAATGAAAGTGGTATGAAGTGGTAACTGTTCTCTCTCTATGTTTTCCTGCTCATAAATATCTACCATACTTATTTCTTGTCCAAATATAGTTCTATTTGTTGGATGTTCTTGAATATATTGCCTTGGATAGCACAGTCATATTTCTCCTTGCTAAAACAAGTGAAACAAATCACCTTAAAATACAGAAAGGTTTATAACTCTGTACACTCTATCTTGATTTAAGATCAACTCACTTTTCAACATCACTCTCACAAATTTAACAAGTTTTGGGAAACATTAAAAATGGAAGCACGCTACTTTTTTTAAAAAAACAAAGTTTTATTAGTGAAACCACAGTTATAAAACAAGACATTTCAAGCATTAAAATAGTTGATCATATAGGAAAATGGAATGCAGTACAATAGTAGCATGTAGGCAAACAATGATTATTCAGTTACCTGTTCCCAAAAGAAACTGGCTCTAAAGAACACCCTTATCCTGCTTTTGCCACGCTTCTTTCAATGTGCCATATCACAAAACAACAACTGCTGTTGGTATCTTTCTTTGGCACAACTATAGTTGCAACTGAAACTGTGGTTGGGCATGCAATGTTAAGAGCAGTGCTTATTTAATAAGTCATTTAGCAAATGAGTAGGTAATCAAATGACAACAGGATATGTTTCACACTGAAGCATTATGCTTCAGTATTTCACTCAACCCATAATGGGCAGACACATCTCACTTCATGGCTAGAGGACCTTCAAAAGATGATTGCAAGATTTCAAAGTACTTTACAAGAATATCGGAAGTGTAAAGAAAAACAAATCTTCATGTTTTTTTTTTCTATTCTGCGCCTGAACAGTAGTCAGCTATTGAGACCAGTTCTAAGAAATGAATGCAAAGTAAGCAGCTTCTTGGAAGAACTACTCTGTTCTTCAGGCTTTAATTGGCTGGTCCTGAGAGAGTCCTGTTTCTTCTTCTTCTTCTTCACTATCTGTACAATGATACACAGGTAAAGATTTAACAGAGAAGACCCTGCAAACAGTCACCTATTTCATTCTTTCCCACTTGCTACTGAAAGCCAGCGTTCCCCGACCTTGGCGGCTGGGGTGGGTGGGGGAGAAAGGGAATGGTTTTGTGTGAGGGGAAGGCATGTGTATATACGTGCACAGCTTCATTTGTGTGAGCCACAAGCATGAGTGGGGCTGCGAGTGCCGGTGCCTGCCGTGAACACAAGTGGGGCTGCAAGTGTCAGCTGCTGGGTTCCAAATGGGCCCAGGCCAGGGGTCGGGGACTCCTGCTTTAAGCACTACTGAGATTAGTACCTTGGTCAATCACAAGTTAATCACTGACGAATTGGAGGACTTGCTTTAAAAAGAAGCAAGAGACTAGGAATAGGAAGCAAAACGAGGCATGAGCAAAAGCTGCTTGGTTCTATCAAAAGATTAAACTCACCTGGGCATCGTTCATTCTACAGCTCCATTTTTCATAAACGTTGAAGACCTGAAAAAGAACACAGAAGCTATATACTCAGGTAGTTCTAGGGGCATTTTTAATGTGGAAAGTCTGTGGCAATGTTCAGCCTATATATACTAAGCCTGAAAAGGATATGGGACCAAGAGCAAGTTCTGTTCTCAGGAACCCAGTACATCTGGTTCCATTTTGTAGATGCTCATATATTGTGCATGAATATATTCAGAAATCGGTCGGTAAAAGTTTGCAAATGTATCAATGATTAGAAATGTTGACATAGCTACACACAAACTTATCAATTCTACTGCAGAACTTAAGAGACATCTCTATAAGGCCCCAAGTTGTCACACTGACAGGCTGAGTGTCTGCATAGAGTTGGTTCTAATTCCACAGAGAGGTGGGGAGACAGGATGGCTTGTGTGCACTGAAGTCTTCTATTAACATTCTTTGGATGCACACTGTCTGAACAATGAAGCAAATGGTATTCATATGAAATGAAACAATTGCAATTTTTAAGTCTACCCTCTTGTCACAAATCCCACTGGATGTCTCCAGGCTAATCAGGAGGAGGTTGGGATAGAAGAAAATGGACAACTGACCGCTACGTAAGTTGTTATGAAAGGCAAAATACAAATATAACTCATTTATCTACATATTGATTCCTCACATACAACTTTTTAGAGAAATGTAAAAAAAGTCCACTATGAAAGTGTTTAAACTTCAGATTTTCAGTACCTTTTTCATAGCTGTGGAGATGGCTGATATCTGAAATTCTGCTTTAGTCACCCATCGGGATGCTGGCAGTTCCACATTCTTATTCCAATTTTCCTCATCTTTGTCCACATTCAAAAAATAGATCAGGTATGTTTGGCGGATATGGGAGAAGATATGCAGAACCTGGGGAAGCAGTGATATGTGGATATGTGGATGGATCCTGTAACTCAATATTATGACGGGCAGAAGGAAGACACTGAATGGTACAGATAGAAACTAAATGCCCTAAGGCGAGGAATCCTTGGAGTTCTCTTTTCTAATCTTTACTCTTCCCTGCTTTGAGACAAGGACCTGCAGGGACATATCTGGATTTAGGAGCAAAGATATGAAAAAAAATATTTTGCTGCATGGAACCATACTTTATAACGATTTGGATAAGGCTAAAATTTATATTAAGATCAATATTTTTGTAACCTTGATAGTTTTAAAAGTCTTAGTAAGACAATAAACTGATTAATTCTGCTGCTCACATTTCTGGGGGAACCAATTTCATTTCTATGTAGCTATCTGGTTGCAACCTTGGCTAAATTTAATATCCAACAATCATTTCCCAAATGTAGTACACTCATCTTGGTTCCATGCATCTACTCTACTCTAAAACTTTACTATAACTGTACATAGCAATAGAACTTCTAATGCTGCCCCAAAGTGAACTGGGCTGAAGATCCAAAACAGAGCAAAAACACAGGACAAACTTGTTGGAAGACTGGCTAACAATGGCTGATTATAAAAGCATTGCCAATTCCTATCTGGGATCCAATTTACCTCTCCAACATACTGTAGTTGCCTCACTGCCAAGTCATTGCCAAGCGAGGCGAGGAGATGATCTGTCAGAATCACTTTCTGTTGCTTTTCCTGCCCTTGTTCAAGGAGGATGCTAGGAAACTCCCACAGTCCAGCTAGCAGACCTACAAGAAAATGTCTAATCAGTGCAATTTAATATAACACAATGGTTACATGTGTGAATTTAAACTCTGCTTTTAAAAAAAAGCTATTGAAATGCTGCACGCTTTCAACTAAAACATTATTTCTATAGTAACTATGTAAGGAATGAGTATTCTCTGTTAAAAGCAGTCTTTCCCTCACATAGATAAAGGAATTCAATAAACTTTATTATTCAAATGTTTTTTCAATAAGAGTGGAAAAACATGACATTAATCAAAAGATGTTGGGCCCAGATGTTGGGCCCACATCACTGGATAGTATCTGGAATGGACACACAACTAAACTGGCTCTTGGTTCAGACCTACAGATGCTCACATATTTGTAGTTTCTTATTCTAAGTTACCAAAGTAAAATTGGCTTCTTTATCCTAAGAAGAGCCCCTAAAAATCTTCAGAGAAACAATCCTTCCTGGTAATTTCTTCTTTTTAAAATAATTAGACAAAAAGATACTTCAAAATTGAAGATCCAAATTTCTATAACTGCTACAGAACTAGAGCTGGAGATGTAAACATTAGTTGACAATGCTTAGCCTTCCTTAATTTCTTCTTCAGCTGGTTACCTGAGCTGGCTCTCCTCACAAGAAAGTACTCTGGATTCCCATCACTGCATCTCCTCTGCAGCACGCATGTGGCTGTGTGTTCTGTTCTGGGCTGCTTCTTGGTAGTCTTTCTTGGGAAATTAGTGACACCAAGGCTGGGCTCCCATGGTACTGAAGGGGGCAGGCAGAGGGAACAGCTCCCCGAGACAGCAGCTGATAATGAGAAGGAAGCAGCAGGCGATCAGCCAAACTCTGAAACTCCTGCTGATGGCAGCAGGAATAGTGCTCCATTATAATCTATTTTTATGGACATCTAGGACAGGAAGGTTTGTCTTGCCAAGAAGAACCACAATTCCTTTGACTCTGCCCATCCCATGGTGACAAAGTTCAACCAACCTCCCACCCTTCCTTCCCAAGAAAGCCTTGAAAGCCTAATAAACATAATAGAACAGAATACATTTAAAATAGTAATATTAGTAAGTATAAAGTAACACAATAACACAAGGATGTTATTTTTATCCAACTGCCATGACCTCCATCTCCCATGATTACATTCAAAAATGAAAGTTGAATGTCCCCTGCAGCAAACACAACCTCAGTTTAAAGATGCAAACTTTCCAAGCCTGTAGGCTGTTTGGAAGCACACCACACATTCCATCCACTTTTCCCCATAAGGACATTGTTAAAGCCTTAATAATGAAAGTAATATGAAGACAAAAATACAATTTCTCTTGAGGGACTAAAACCAGCTGATTTGAAAGCATGATCACAATTGCCCCTCCTTATGCATCATCAGGACAACGAAGCAATGTCTGTGAAAAGAGGTTAGTTGGGAATGAAATTCTGAGAGTCTTCCTTGCTTGTATGAAACCTTAATTCTCATT